ACCCCCTTGGGGCCCCCAGCCCTCGTACGGGCCAACACAGTAGTGACCGTTCTGTCACTACACATACACACACTCTCACACTCTCAGACTCACACACACACTCAGTAGATAGGAAAATGGGAGAGATTTTGGTTCAGAGACTCGTGGAATTAACCCATCAGTGTAGAGCTTGTTCGTGTTATCCCCACGATGTGGTTTTTCTATGGATTGTCTGGTTTCATCCCAATACGAAGTGAAGCTCTCACTAATGGAATTTTCTCAAACATCCCAATGCAGCAGCAGCACCATCCTGATACAAATTCAGTGATGCAGTGACATGAAATGAAACACATGCAAGAGATAGACATGTAGGGATATGATATGAGATGCAGACAAAAATAAGTCGTGAAATTAGATAAACGAGATACAAATAAGATTTAGAGCCTACATATGAGTTGTAGATAAGATACATAGTATGAATGAGATAAATAGGCACGAAACAAATGAAAAGGGATTTGACAAAACATACAAACAAGAGATACCTTTTTCTTGCTGTGGTTATCCCACCTGATGACGATTGCTTGTGCTGCGATTGAAACGTCGTGATCTATTATTTTTATACCTACGTGACTTTACAGAAATAACCAAAGAGTAAGAGATACCTATTTAGCGATATGAGAGAAGTAGATAAGGGAAAGAAATGTCATGAACTTGCGGAATGTATGCAAGAAGGAAATAAAGGTTATTATCAAACATGATCAATTCACTGGTGGATGAAGGTCTGATAAGCCTTCACCATCTCCCACAAGTCCTTCAATGCAATGATCAATCTAGTAACTACAAACGAGCTGATTTCATTGATCCATCTCCACGGAGGCCCTCATCTTGGGTGTATTTAATGTTCACCCATAAGTGAAAATGTTACACCACAGTTTGGAGTTTGGCAAGTTGTGTGTTGTGTGGTAGAATGTGGCCACTCCCACCTTTATCAATACGTCTCATTAGCGTGAAAGAGCAGATAGACTACTCGATAGAGATCCCTCCCGTGGAGCCCCTTTCACCAGAAGCTATTTGAGCAAGCAATTGAAGGGCTGTGCTTGCTTACAATTGATTAGACTGGGTGCAACAATTGCTCAGGACTATTTGAGCACTTATTTCGCCAAATTAATGTCATAGCCCGTTAATAGGCCCTGATTATTTTAAATAATCAAAGTGTCTGTTCACATAAACTCACAAACCCCCACCTGTGGCCATGAGCAAGTGCCGTCAAATCCACATTTCTCTAGCCAGGACCAGTCTCTCCATTAGGCAACCTCTCTCGACTCACAAAGTGGTTCCTATTTCATCAACCCTAGGGGAATGCTTGGCTGAGCAAACCTCATATTGATTATAAATTGAAACTGATTTTGAGGTCGGCCTTCTGCTGTATCACTCAGAGTAATGAGGGGTTAGGAAGCTACTATCGAAACTGTCACTGTACTTATTGATCTTGCTGTTACTGCAACACTCTCTCTTGACCAGATGGCGACTAATCTCCTCAACAATCGTTATACGGTTTTGGAAAAACTAGACGATGGAGGATTTGGCGAGGTGTACAAATGCTGGGACCACAGGGACCACAAGGAGATGGCCTTCAAGAAGACTGACATCACATTAAGGTGAGAGAGACCAAGTAATGATGTGCTTCACAATCTTCACTGAAAAGTAGCTTCCTGTCAGAGAAACTCACGTGTGCCTACCTAGACAAGACGCAATACGTTTTCCATTTTAATGATGATGCAATTTCCAACATTCTCATGAGTTTCGATTTAAAGCTTTCGTAACTGCAGGAATTCATCTTCTTGGTTCTTTCGGTAAAGTCACGTAGAAGGGAAGTAATAAAATAATGAAAATAAAACATAATAAAATAATTCTCAGGACGTTTCGGTCACAACACAAGCAGCCGTCCTCAGGTGAAGAACATGTCTGTCGATAAGACAGAGTCTAAATCTAAATGGACATTTAGACTCTGTCTTATCGACAGACATGTTCTTCACCTGAGGACGGCTGCTTGCGTTGTGGCCGAAACGTCGTGAGAATTATTTTATTATGTTTTATTTTTATTATTTTATTACTTCCCTTCTACGTGACTTTACCGAAAGAACCAAGAAGATTCTCATAAGTGTTTGTATTTCTTCACGCAGCATCAAGGAAGTGCAAGCATATCACGAGGCTGTCTTCCTCAAAGTGCTGAGACACAATAGCATCATCCGGTTCGAGGAAGACTTTGTCGTGGGAGATTACCATTATCTCGTGTTGGACTACATCAGGTAATAACACCAAGTCCATTACAACCCTGGCACTTGCATGATGTATACAAATATAAGCTTGGCAGCTGATTGATCCACATCAGTACACAATCCTTAGCTATGCTACACTGCATTGTTAACAAGGAGCTGCATTAACCATTTCATAGCTGGTTTGTCAATTCTCGGGACCCAGTCATGGCCCAGTGGTAAAAAAACTCTGCAGTCAGCACGTATTCAAGTAATTGTTACCCGTCGAATGCCTTACCTCACCCTCAGTGTTCCAGTACTTGCATGTGTGGATGAGCTGGTGCCTTTGTACTTCATGCTGTTTAACCATGTTGCACTGTGTTCGTTTTCTGTTATCAGCATGGGCAGCCTCTTTGACGTTCTGAAAGCGAACGGAGCATTTACTCTGTCCTCCGTCAAGAGATATGCCCAGTCCCTGATGGAAGTGCTGGCCTTTCTGAAGACGAACGGCATAGTCCACGGGGACCTCAAGCTGGTAAGGGTTTATCATTAATATCTCTTTTAGAGGAATTAAACAGGTCTAAGGGACGCTGCTATGGTGTCATGGATCGCACACTAGACTTGAAACCCAGAGGGAATTGGTTAAATTGATACTCCGTCTTGGCAATTATAACAGTGGACAGGTTCTCAAATCCCAACCCCACCCACCCACCACCTCTGTACACCCATCAGTATAAACAGGTACGCCACAGTTAATCATGTCACGAGTGGCGGGGTGAAGTGTGGGTACTTCCCCTTCTTCCGAGACATTTGACGCTGTGTAACAGTAGCCCAAAACCATCTAGAGGGGCTCTCTTCAGCTCCCTATGGCGGAGGCCTTTCTAGAAGTAGAGGGGTGAGCAAGTAATTGCAGGGCTGCACCTTCACCGTGATCTTTTAAGCAGATTTAGCAGTTTATGTGCCTCATGCACATACACTGCATGATGCACATACACTGGCCAGTTTAATTCCCATCACAGCAGCTGCCTCATACAGTGGAGCTCTTATCCGTGACAATATTACCCATGACTCCCATTATCCATGGGAACTGTCGAGTCTATAAAACCACCAATGATCCGTGGCCCTATTTTTCTTCTTATGCGTAATTATTGAGGTTTTTTTTTACCATCCTGCATTGTGGAACAACTTTGTTATTGCTGACGATAAGAGTCGCTTTGGCAATTCTTCTCATTATGAGCGTCTTGTTTTCATGAACAACTTCATTGCAAGATTTCATATTGGATAATTTTTAGGAGAGTTATTGATCCCCCTGCTTCCCTCTCCATTACAAATGGACATAGATATTGCATAAACACTTATAACGTTAGATGGACAGTGCAAAAATGAACGCCATTTTCTATGCAGTGATCATTTTAACGGATCCTCATCTGGTTAAATAACATATATATATAATGTTTCCATTCTTATATTTCTTTCAGGAAAACATCTTGGTGAAAGGTCACCACACGGCAGCCATCCGATTGGCCGACTTCGGAGGAAGTTTTTTTGACAATGAACCTCGTAAGTTACACTTTATATGCATTTATACATACCGTAGCATTTCTAAATCTTCCTACAGATCCTGTTATATGCAACAATAATATTTTGCTTTCTATAGCATCGTTCATGCAAATTGCGTGAACGATGATAATATTAAATTAACATATGTGATATTACAAGAGCTTAACACAGTGCTGAGTGTGCATGGTAGCTCTACACGAGGTATGATTACAACGCCTTGCGATCTCCGTTTCACAACAGCGCATTGGGAATGTCCACTTCCGTGTAAAATAACGTCCTTTCACATATCATGCAGGACAGGGCGAGAACACATTGGAGATTTTTCGCAGTAAAACTGTGACTCCGATCGTCCACTTAACCCTTTAGAGCTGGTCCGTTTATTCTTGGGACCTAATAATGCCTACCTATGGCGGGACCTGATATTTCAAATGACTGAATGTACTTTTTTTTGTTGCCAATTATAAAACTGAGAAGGTTGACAATTCATTTCAAGTGTCTATGCTGCAGAGTGACATAGACTTAAAAATTGCATTAGCTATGAAAGACCTGTACTGTATTCTTATTTTTCTCCAGCCGACCATTTCTTTGGGACGGCCGGATACCAGGCTCCTGAGGTCTTGCTGGCCCTGCCGTTCAGGACAGCAGTTGACATGTGGGCTGCTGGCTGCTTACTGGCCGAGATCTCTGTTGGGAAACGACTCCTGCAATAACCAGCACGATTCAGGAGGTCGCTGGGATCACAAAGGTAAGATTCGTTTCAAAATTAATTGATTTAACTATTTTATTACGGACATTTTTTCATGTTTGATTGGTTGTTGCAGTTCTATGTTGGCTCAGCGGTTGAGTAATTGGCTCGCAATCGCAACGTTGTGAGTTTACATCTGATTGGGGGTTTATTCAACCCTCCAGTGTCGATAAAATGAGTGCCACTTTTTGGGGAAGTCGACATTGGTTGACATAGAAGTAGATTCGCCGTTGCCGTAGGAATGCAGAGTTTTGCTATTGACTCAGGGCGCAGCCAGGCGATGGTCACTGCCTCGGTGAACGTTTTCTTTGAGATTACTTACTGCTTAGTTTTACGTGACTTCAAGTGTTTACTCAATTATGAATAATTGAATCAATAGGATACAAAGCATGCATGTAAATACGTAAAGAAAAACTCCTCAACTCTCCAGTGACATAACAGCAAATGTATCGTTTATTTTCAGATTCTGGGAACACCACCCTTAAAGATGCTGCACGCTGCACCAGACGGTCATCGGTATTTCCGTGAGTAATGCAAATTTTATTTTTAATATGTGATTAGGTATTATAACATCACTCATCTGGCTGCACAATGGCGTGAAAGTTGTGTTGTTTCCCCACGTCCTTCACAGCCTTAATTATACAACACAGCCTTGTACACATGAATAATATTCGAATGCATGACATCGTTTGCGATTGTACCCACTGCAGACTTCTTTGGGCAACTCACCGAGGAATGTCTGCAGGAGACCCCTCATTGTTGCCCGCTCAAGGAGTTTCTGAAAACAAAAGACCCATTGTTCCTGGACTTCATCAGCTCCATCCTATGGTGAGTATCCCACTCTTTGACTTTCCCTCAACTTTAACAAATTCAAGTAAGTTTCTAGATCATAAGGAAATACGCATCCCCTTTGCAAGGTATAGCAAATCTGCATCTCGCTGCAGAAGAAACTAGGTAAAGAATGAAAGGACAATGCAGTACTCTAATTCGTCATTTAACGCGGTAGTAGATGCGTTTATGAAAAGTGTTGCATTCAGAAAAAATGCATTTTGTGAGGAATTACCGTTTACACATTACAGAGGTAACAAATGTAAACCATGCACATTTGCACATTTTCACTATTAAATTAGCCTGCAGTCATCCCATGGCGAAAAAAAGAACTGTGATGAGGGTATTCCAACGCGTACTATATCATTATATCATTCCACGCGGAAACCCAGAATTCCTATACTGCTCAGCCACGCAGCTGAAGAAAGTAATTTGCTGTGAACCACTCGGAAAGCCCGTTTCCAAATGGAAGCAATGTATTTTCACGATAACGCGTTGTGTAAGCACACTTTGAGCGAGGACTTACCATACCTAACTGCACTTACCTGCAAACCCTTACTTTGTCAAGTGGATGTCAGTTCATTGTATCACCATAATGTGTAATATGGGCATGTATATTTTGCTGATCTTCTCATCGGTACTTGTCTCTTTGTTTTCAGCTAGAACCCAGATGACCGCCTAACTCCGGAAAGTGCTCTCAAGCAACCATGGATGAGTGCAGCTCATCCATTGCCAGTCCGGAAGAGCAGCAGCTCTTCCTGACTGGCAATTCCCATTTTGGCTCCAAAGGTGTCCAGTGTCATTTCACTTCCACCTCCAGCCGCCATTCCAATCCCCTTCATTCAGCCAAGCACTGACGCCTTCCTGGCTTCTGTCTCTATTGGGTCATTGATCGAAACCATTTTGGAATGGGAGATGCCTACAGCCACTAGCTCAACATCCACCGAAAAATGCAGCATTCAGGTGGAAGATTTGAACACTGCTGTGTCTCTTACAGCATCAATTGCTGACTCTCTCCCAGAGTCGGAGACCATAATTAATGTGGACATCAAGCCTCAGGATGTTGAGGAATTTTCTATTTCAATTGAGGCAATCGATGAGACGACCCAAAATGGAACCTAGACGACCCAAAATAAAGCCGAGATGAGCATGGGCTCCATATTGTCTCTGCCTATAAACGCAGACTACACTGTTAACCCTCTCCTGGAGTCCGAGAGCACGGTCAAGGCAGACTTTAAGCCTCACGATGCTGAACAAAAGCAAGCCATGGTGCAGAGTGACATGAACAGTGCAGAAAAAATGCAGATCCCCAAATCCAAATCACTAACCATCCGCAAGAGATTGCGTTGGTTCGGACGTGCTCTTATTAAGTTGGTCTGTGTGTAATAAAAGACTCGGACGCTTCTCTCTGACTCCGTGTCCTTTATTTGGGTTCTTCGTAATTACCCTCACGGCACTCTCTTAGGGATACTCTGCTTGCAGCCCCCGGCTGCTATCACTATTATAGCCTCCTTCCTCTCCTTGCAGACTCGCTGCTACCCCGTGTGCAGACTCCCGCTGCTAACTCTATATTCAGACCCTCCTGGCCTTACTCCGTATGCAGACCCGCTTGCAACTCCATATGCAGACTGGCTGCTGACTCCGTATGCAGACCCGCTGCTGACTGCAGCCTCCTCGCTGCTTCGGGTCGGTCACCGCTGGCCGACGGTGCCGATCCTCGCTCCCCGTGTCCGTGGCGATCTCGCCACCCTCCGCTCTCGCCCTACGTGGCCTTACTCGTTCCTGGTCTCCCGTCACTCCCCCTCCTCTTCCGGTTTCTCTCCCTATAGACCTGACCCCTCTCCCCCACGTGACCTAACTCCTCCCCTCATGACGTCACCTCCGGGAGGTCGTTCACGCCCGCATTACATCACCCTCCCCCGTAGAGAAAATCCAGCCAACCTCGGCTGAACAACAACCTAACAAGTAATGCGAGCGTAAAAGACCAATACACTAAAGGACACGAAGCATACAACAACAATATAACAAGAACACAACACAAGTTAACGAAATGTGAGGGATTTCGAGCGAGTACGGGTAGCCGGGCCGTCCCGGACGGTCGGCAGCCCACCCGCCGAGCGGGAACGTGGCAGGGTTTTAAGGGCGACAGGAGCAAGTTCGTCCATCGCCATTGGAGGCCTGCCAACGTCCCGGTCGCGTTCAGAGACGTCCCGTAATCGCGTCCGCGGAGGGGTAGGAAGGGCTGCAGGTCCCGTAATTTCCGCGGCCCCGGTCGGCATCCCACGAGCGGAACGTCCTCCCTCCTGCGGCGTCACGGCCGGCTTGTCTGTAAGGGGTACGACAGGCGCTCTTGCAAGGTCAGCAGGCACAGGCAAGGGCGAGTCGGCAGCAACAGACCCCGGCAAGGCAACCTCAGGAGATGACGCATCCGGTCGCGGGGCAACGTACGGCTTCAACCGGGATGTATGCACGAACCAGCGCCGCGAACCAACCTGAACACGTGCCGACTGTGGGTTGGGAACCTCAATGAGGCGGACCGGTCCTTGCCATGGTTTATGTAATTTAGGAGAGGTACCTGGCCACACCTGTGGGCAATGAAGCCAGGCCAGGTCCCCCGTTTTCCAGGGGCACTCCCCCTTTGAACGTCGAGCACACCGCTCGTTCCGGGCCTGGGCTTTGGCCGTAGCCATGCGGGCTCTTTCTCTCGCCTCAGTGACATGGCGAACGTTGTCCTGAATATACTCAGGAAGAGGCTTAACAGGTCCCCTCGCTCCGGTTCCCAACTGCTCATTAATCGGCGGCACGTTTTCACGGCCGTACATAAGAAAGAACGGCGAGTATCCAGTAGCCGCGTGCGGCGTCATGCGATACGCCGAAAGCACCCCAGGGATATGCAAATCCCAATCAGATTGATTTTCACCGACTGTATGGCACAGCATGGCGGACAGGGTCCGATTTAACCGTTCCACCATACCATCCGTTTGTGGGTGGTAGGGGGATGTCCGTATCTTTTTAGTTCCAAGGGCCGCACACACCTCCCCCAACAATTTAGACGAAAAGTTACGGCCTTGGTCTGTAAGGAGCCTCTCCGGCGCCCCCTTGTCCATAACATACCCGAATAGAAAGGCGTCGGTGATAGACGCCGCCGACTGGTCAGGCAAAGGCCAGGCCATCGGCCAGCGGGAGAGGTACTCCACCCCCACCAGTAAATACCCCGTCCGCACTAACAATATGTCCCAAGTATCGAACGGAGTGTTGCAGTAGGTGACATTTCTTAGGCTTGAATTTCAAATTAGCAGAACGCATTCTGATGAATACAGCCTCCAACCGCAGTAAATGCTCATCAAATGTGCGGCTGAAGACGATAATATCGTCTAAATATATCAGACATGTCTCCCACTGCAACCCCGTTAATACCAACTCCATCAACCTCTGAAAAGTGGCAGGGGCCGCATTCAACCCCATTGGAAGACAGTTAAATTGGAATAACCCCTGCGGCGTACGGAAAGCAGTCTTTTCTCTCGAGGGCTCGTCAAGGGGGAGCTGCCAGAAGCCCGAAGAGAGATCTAGCGTTGAAAAAAACTTGGCCCCCGACAAGGCGTCGAGAGAATCGTCCATACGCGGCAGGGGATACGCATCTGCCACCGACACTTTATTCAACTTACGAAAATCCACACAAAATCGCAATTTGCCATCCTTTTTAACCAACACAACAGGCGCGCCCCACGGGCTATTAGACGGAGATATAATGTCCGCTTTCAACATGTCATCCACTGCCCCTCGAACATGCTCGCGCTCAGCCGGGCTCATCCGACGCGAGTTCAAGCGAATAGGGGCAGCGTCCCCTGTGTCGATGTGATGATAAAGCAGCGAGGTGCGTCCCAAGTCCAAATCGTCGGAGCTGAACACATCCGAATAACTCGATAATAATTTATGAATCGCACAACGCTGTTCGCCGGAAAGGGCCGAATTCTCCCCACACAATTCAGCGATCCAACGATCATCCACCGCCCCATCGTGTGAAACACCACCCACCAGCCCCCCGTCTGGCAGATCACTCTGAGCCGTAAACGCCGTAGTGGCATGTGCCACAACGGTACCAGCCGGCACACACACACTTTCAGTACTCGCATTAAGCACCTGCAAAAACGGCCGCTGATCTGGCCGGACAATAGTTTGCGCCCCCACTAGCGCCAATCCGCCCGTAACAGCGGCGGACGGCGACAGCAATACCCCAAAAGCTCCCTGCCGACCCGGCACCGGCTTCCGGTATCGTAAGGGAATGAGCATCTGCGAGCCAGGTGGAATATCAACCGAAACTTCCGATAACGCCTGCACCTGGGCGACAGGAGCCGGTCGCCCCCAGGCGGACGGTAGAAATGCCAATTTCCGGCTCCCCGGTAATTCAATGCAGTTTTCATTGATTCGAATTAGAATGGGCATTTTGGCCAAAAAATCAGTACCCAACAGGCAAGGAACCGCAAGGGACCTCGAAATTAATACAATTCCCGAGGCCGAGACTCCCCCGATAGATATGTTAGCGTCCACCTGGCCAACGATGCCCATGCTACCCCCGTTCGCAGCGACGCAGGAAGCGTAAGCTGGCCTCACGGCCCCCGGCGGGATGTTCAAAAGGTGAAATATCACATCCGAAATGATGGTCGCGGATGCACCGGAATCCACCAAAATACGTACGTCCACCCCTTGGATCGACCCGGGTACAGTGGACGAACCGGTAGCGGCCGCGACAACCCGCCGAGCCAGCTTACGCCACTGCGTTACCGAGCGACAAGGCGCAGATACTGGCTTCCCGTATTTAACAACATCCGCGTCGCACAACAACGGCGATGAGTGAGGTCTCAGGCCTTGCCGGGTGTCTGGTGCGCACCGACTTGCCTGTGCTGTAGGATCTTTCTTAGGAGCGTCCGCTGTCGAGGCCTCCTGCTGGGGCGGACCCGGAACGTGGGCCCAGCAGTCCCTGGCATAATGGCCCCGACGCCCGCAGCGGAAGCACTCGACGTCGGTGCGGCACGCAGCGGGCACCCCGTCCCGACGCGGCCGTACCGGCGGCGCAGCCCGCGGCCCCGGCCCACTCCTGGCCGGCCACGGAGCAGAGGCAGCTGACAGCTCCTGCTGGCTGCTCCCATCCGGCACGTACACAGCCTTTTTAGGGTCCCACCCTAAGGCACCCCCTTCGACGACAGGACCACCTGTCCACGCCGTGACTTGTTTCCAGCGGCGAAGGTTAAACTGGGCGTCCAGACACCTGGCCGCGGCCCGGGACGTGAGCTTTTCGTGACCGCACACCGGCATAGGAATGCCGAGATCTCGGGACAGCTCCAACATCTTCCCCAGGATGAGAGGTTCCAGCAGGTCAGGCTCCGTCTCCGGGTAAGCGGCCATAGCAAGTTCCAACACGGCGCCCCTATACGCTACCGGTGACTCCTCGGGTGCGCGTTGTCGTTGCACGAACCGGCGATGGGCGTCATCCGGCGGCTCGTACGCGTCCGCCATTTCGTCGAACACCCCTCGCAGAGTCTTCTTCTTCTCAGCTTTTATGGAGCGAAAAAAACGAACGGACTCATCATCAAGAAGAGTCGGAAGCACCTCCAGTGCCTCGGCGTCCGTCCATCTTGCTGTGCGTACCGCTGCCAAAAATTTACAGGCGAACGCACTCCAATCGCCACCGATGGAGAATTCCCTGACAGTTGTTAGGTGACGACTGCGACTCCTTGGCTTGCTTCCTGCAGCAGCTGACTCCTCCGGTGGTAAATTCAACAAGGCGTCGCAACGCGGTGTCGACAAGATGGCGGCAGACCGTCGCGGTGGTCCCAAAATGGCGGCTTCCCGCTTTTCGTCGTGCGCCACGCCCAAGATGGCGTCTTCGTGCCGCGTGGCCGATGGCGGCGCCATCGAAGATGACCCGGGCTCCTGCTGACCACCAACGTCTCCTCCCGACGCCGCCCTGGGCATGACAAGGTCACACAACTGCGTAATAACGTTCTTAAGAGTTACGAGTTGCTCCGCCATCTGGGTCCATCTTAAATCCGCGTCGTTTGGAGCAGA